TATTAATAAGATGGCGCTGTGAAAAAAAATAGGAGCGAAGGAACAAGGGAAAACGCTATTCACTTTCGTGGGTTTTCGATGCGCACGCATGTATGAGAGAATGATTCTCCTTTAAATGATTAAACAAAATGTCCAAGAAAGTATATGTCTGTCTCTTAATGGATTGACACCCACAATACTCCACGTACTGTTTCCTATCTCTTAGGTAACTGGCTTTTTTATGCTCCGAAATATTTCCAAAAAGGTTTAGGGTCTTTCATTTAATTGTTTGATTTCGTTGTTCGTATATCTTGAATGTCTTTTTTAGATTAGCCTTAGCTCTCTTGCGACAAATTGCAAAAGCGTTATAATCCGTATCTGATCGACTTAATTTAAACACTCTGTGTAGTTTAGCCTTATATCATTTATAATATCGGTCGTATACCATTCGGGATAGCTATATTTATGATTTTTTACGTTAGACTTTCTAGGCACATGCTTATCTAGTAAGTTATTCAAAATATCATATAACACTGCGAGGGCGCCCTCCGGGTTCCGTGTATTATAAACGCCACCCCAATCGACGAGAGTGAGAGATAAAATGAAACAAAATCTGCTTTATAGAAATTCCAAGATAATTTACTCCTACCTGCAGACGTGCTACTTTCCCAGTTATGCAAAGCGTCCCGTTTTATCCTGATACAGCGGGGGTAGTGCAGCTCAATCGTGAGTGGCGGGCGTTATGGGTCCACCGGTACCAAGGGCTTCATCGACACTATCCCACCAGTATGACGAGCACAACAGATCTAGTTGCCTACCATCCAATGTTACAATTCGGAATTTTATGAACTAGAGCGAAATCACGATAAGATTGAAAACATTCAGAATAATTTCTAACAATATCACAAGTAGAATACAATACATTAAATTAAAATCGCCTAGCAGTAACACTTTTTCGCATTTGAAACGCAGTCGTAACTTAAGCATAACATATATTTGGTCTCACTGATTATAGGAGGTAGATATACTACGCAACACAGTAACAATAATTTGTCATTAGAGTGAACGGTCGCACAGACTAGTTCGAACGAGTGGCGATCTGCCGTGACGTCATTTAGTTCGCATCGGCTCACTCTCTGTACTCGTAAACCGCGCGCGGCAACTAAACGCACCGCCGCGTTTACGTCCGTCAGTACGGTCGCTCCGAATAATTTGGTACTACCGCTATAATGTCGCCGTCCATTATCGAGTCGCTACATCCAGTTTCCGTAATAGCAATGATATCAGCTTCTAAATATTCTATTTTGCTACAAAACCTGTTCAACTTAGTTCGAAGTTATTTGACTACCCAAAATAACTATTCTACGCGGACGAAGTCGCTGACACAGCTAGTCAATAATAATCCATTAGTTTTTTTAATTCTACAAGAATGCACCGTGTTGTTGCTTTACCAATTGAGTTACCATGTAAAGTTGTGATCATCGAATTTTTAAGACTTTACACAGGCAACTCACGCGCATTGTAAATTTACTTTACAGTTTTCTTGTGTATAACCATGAATAAATACAAACAAGAAGTGAAACTAAGCAATAAAACAATCTTTAACTATGATAAGTAGATTTATTTACAACAATTTTAGAATCGTTTCACATAAAAATAATAACAATAAAAACTTGTCACTTTATTATTGCCTTAAAAATCGTATAAATACAACTCTGTTGAAGTAATTTTAATACTGAATCACAGTTATATGCTTTAAATGTAAATTAAACATTTTTAGTAGATTACATATTATATTGCATAGTGTGACTAATATATTTAAATCCCTCGTATATATCTTGAGCCAAAGCGACATAGTTTTTGGATATAATATATCTGTGTATATAGTAAAACTTTTAACGTTAAAAAGTGAACAATCAAACCACATGTTAATTGTTTGTAGATTTCGCGAATAGTTTCGCACAATTGAATACTTTTAACGGTTCAAAACGCAACATATAATAGTTAACTTATTTATAATTACGATGTTTCGGTTGCTTTGCAGCAGCCGTAGTCATGAGGAAAGTTAACTATTATATTCCGTGTAATAAACCGTTTCATCTGTATTTTTACACGGTTTAGCGTGGGGTATCTGTTTAGAACAGCCAGTTTCAATTATTAAAATTCGCTCCCATTTTTTAATGTACTTGTTAGTGCATATATTACAATACCCAATATTTTTAATTTTGATCGAATACTAATTTTACGCGTTTTAAGTTTTACGGCAAAATTCGGCGTTCTCCAATATACTTATAATTACAGTTTAGACATGACGAGATATAAAAAAAAACTCTAATACACAATACTCACAAGAGGTATCTGGAAAGAAACTACACCGATAGTTACATTTTTATTACAATTAATACATCAAATTGAACTGTCAAATTATTTTTTTCAAGCGTAGTTTCCCCACGGTTACTGATATATTATGTTCATATTATTACTTATACTTACAATCCGACTGAAGTTTCAGGTTTACTACCAAGAAGACTAGGCCGAAGCAGAAGATTTGTTAGCAAGCAGAGGAATTTACAAAACTCTGACAAACTTCAATTAATTCATCGAAGTCGAGTCACATTGTGCTTTTATGAGCCGTGTATAAAATGTTCATAAATAATTACAGCGCTAAGTGCGTAGGAAGAAGATAATGTCCAAAATAAATTTAATATTTTTTTCTGAATATTTACTAACGCCACAATGATACCACAAAGTGTATTTAAGTATGAAGGGAATCATTGCTAAATGTTATATCTTCATATCTCAGAAGCAATTGCACAAAATACCTTCTAAATATCTAAAAATAATCTAAAGCACAAAGAATAAATATTGTTCTTAAAAAAGAAATGCTTAAGTATGTGGACATATTTCATGTCCAAGAAAATTGAACATGATTCAAAAGAATTAAAAATGGATGTCCTATGGCGCAAATGGGAGCCCACGACCAAATGTTTTTACATCGGCCTTCGTCAGCTTCAGTCGGCATTACTTATCATACACTACTGTATACTCTTAATACATACTTTTACTTATATAATGTATCTATTAACAATATTTACACAGTATTAGTAGAGGAATATTAAATATCAAACTCAAAATTGTAGATATAAAAATATACATAAAAGAAGTTGAACCACAGAGAGATGAGAATTAAATTCAAAACTTTATTTGACTAAATACTTTAGATACTTATTTACAATAGAAACAACATTAGTTCGAAACGAGAGGTTCTTAAATAAATTTATAAATTCTGGTAAATAATTTTTGTTCGAATATTTTGTAGTACTCGTTTGGTATAAAATGTGGTTAAAAAATACATAAAAAAGGTCCTTACAATACGAATATTATATAATTTTAATAGAGTGCATTTGACTAATGTTTAAGGCAACAAAATAATTATGCAATGATATTATACAAGGACGTTTTGAACCAAGCTGGAAATAATTTGAACTAAACATTTTAACCAATACGGACCTGGATCCCACCCAAAATTGCTTTTCTTTTGTTATTTTTTCAACTGACAATTGTTTTTCTCCAACGAATCGATAATCCTGTTTGCCAATGTCCAGTATAAAATCATCGAATAACGAACAAACAAAACAACTAGATCTACTATCACATGTATCTATCCAATGTTTATCACTACACAGTCACATCATGTTTTAATACTATTGCGTTAAGTATTCACAACTTTACAAACTTTTACAACTAAGACTCTTTGGTCGAGCTTAAACTACCCCCTATACCAATTATAACTAATTTCCGAGTGTGAGATAAAGAATTAACAAGTTCTATAATACATTGAAATACTTATAATAATTTCATTTGAAAAGATTTACAAAGAATTTCAGCTTTTAAGTCCAGATTTTACTTTCAAACTTTCGTGCCTACGTAGCCAACAATTTCAATCAATAAAGAAAATATAAGAAGGGATCAATACAATTCAAATGTTGTAAAACAATGTTTATCCAATGACATGTTTGTTTTCTATCTTAAGCCAAATTTTACAGAGACATAATTTTATATAGATCATTGTTTAACCATTTAATAAAATTTTAATTTTTTTTCAAAGGACGTTTCAAACGAAATTGTGTTCGTCTCGGTGCAGACTGCTTGTTATAAAACAGCTTTTAAATCCTAGTCTCTTGTGAATACCGTATCAAGCTAACGATGGTTCAAAAGTCGATCTTTCTCGTCGATATATTCAAAGAAAATGAGTCCTTTTAAGATCTTTATCTTATATTCTTCTATATGAATATTTGATATAGCTGACGAAATTAGTTTCTTTTATATGTACCAGTAAATTTAATTGTGAGAATACAATTTTTTATAATTATCACTTTAATTACAAATGAGGCAAGTCAGTTGAAAACTGGAACTATTGACCCATTTTTAAAATGTGATTGACGTATTCGAAAACTTCATTACAATTACGTTTATTAATTTTGCATTGCGTAATTTATTGAACTAAGATAGTATAATATTTTGTCACGAAGATTATATTAAGTATTTAATAAAAATGTGCTTGAAAACTATCATACAAAGTCAATTTACAAAAAACCTTTCCTTAGAAAGCCCGAGCGGTTTGAATATTTACCTTGCTCACTCTATTATTATCAATCACCCTAACCTTTTTTGGAAAACAGTAAAAACAAACATTGCTGAAAGTTTGTTAATTATTTATTTCATTCTCGGTCTAATGTAGAGTGGCCAAAATGTCCAAGGCCTTTATTTGCTTGGTTTGGATTCAAAACTGAAGAATTATAAACAACAACGTTTCTATTATGTTAAATAAATTGCAGTGCCTTTGGATTAATAGACCATTCTATATTCAATATATTACAAAAGAAATTATTAAATAATCACTAAACCGACGAGGACTAGTTTGGTAAACCTTTAATACTTAACTCTTAACGGCACGACACCTTTCAAAGTCTTAATTAGATCACAGAATCTAGGTCTTTATCGACCTGGGGTATTGACAATCATAGAAAACTCTCAGTCGCTCTCGTTTCCTCCCTGTCTACGGCGGAAACTATTTCCACGCCTTCGTCGTAATTCTGATTCTTGGAGTTATTAACACAATAATGCTGTTCCGGCCCGCCGTACTGGCTATGATAGAACTCTTCTCGCATCATGTGATTCAGGTTCGAACATCGAAAGAAGAGGATTTCTTGGAACGGTTTCCGGAAGTCTCTATTTAACGTAGCATATATTATAGGATTGAGGAGGCTGTTGATGTAGCCAAGCCACAAGAAAAGCGCGCTGACCGCGTCGGGAATGGTATCTTCGTTGACGAACGGTCTAATTATAGCTAGAACGAAGAACGGAAGCCAGCATACAATAAAAGCTGACATTATGATGCCGAGGGTAGTCGAAGCTTTTCGTTCCTTAGCTAAATGAAAACGCAGTTTTTTCTGATGCGGAGAATTTGGTGGATGCAAGAGGTCTTTGGCGATGTGGCTCTTTTGAGCGAAAGTTGATAGGGAAGAACGAATTTTGCTTGTCGTTAGTTTCTGATCTACTGGAGGACGTAGTCTATCCTTCTGTTTACTATCTGGCAGATTCTGAGGTCGATTGATAGTGTGAATTGGTTTCGTTGGTGTTTTTGGCGGTTGCAGCATGGGACACTGGGATTCATTTGACTTCCGTCCAGTGAAGCATCTTCCTATTGAATTTTCTGCTTTATCTACGCTGCACTGAAATATAAAAATTACATAAAACGTAACTATGTAATAATTTGGTAAATATAAAAGAAAGAAGAAATAATAAAAATGTTCAGTGTTGTCAGAATAATATAAAGCTTTTTGAATATGACCTGTGGTAAACGACTTTAATGGTTCACGTTTACTGCCTCATAAAGGATGTTTAATGACCATACTTAAGTTGAATATTCAAACTGATATTTTACAAGGAAATTTCATCACGTATAATAATTTTAAAGGAAAAGGTTTAGGTTCTAAGAAAACAAAATTAAATTACACTATTATACTTACAGTTGTATTTGTACTCGCAGTAGATCCCCTCGGGGGGGTTTTGTGGTTGGTTTCCTAGTAGCCTAGCTTCCGCGCCTCCTCCATTCTTAACATTAATTTCCAAATAGCAATGCGACTCTAAATGCGACTGAGCTCTTTTCTCATCCTTAACAATTTTCCTGGCGGCACTAAATATCTTATAGTACACGACCACCATAACAGTCAGTGGCAAATAAAACGAGCCGAACGTTGCATAGATCTGGTAGCCCTGATTCTGCGACACCGAGCACGACGTTTCTGTTTTCTCATTACCCAATATCAATACGGGCGGGAGCGATATAAACGCAGCGCTCATCCAGACGATAAAAACACAAAAAAGCATTCTCTTCGGCGTCCTTTTGACTCCGTATTCTAAAGGTTTCGTGATAGCGTAATATCGATCCACAGATATCATACATAGGTTCAATATACTTGCAGCGCACGATAGAACGTCACTGGACACCCAAAAGTCGCAAATGACAGGTCCAAAAGGCCACGTCCCCATAAGGTCGTACACCATAGCCACCGGCATCACCATAATGGCAACACAAAGATCGCTCACAGCCAACGAAACGATCAAATAATTGCTCGGTCTTCTCAACTTTCGCACCAAACAAACGGCAACGCAAACCAGAATGTTTCCAACGATCGTTCCGAATATTACTATCATAAAAATTGCCGCTAGGAGTACGGTCACCAAGGTCGAGTACTTGGAGTGCTTTATATGCGGGTGCTTGACAACAGTCGCGTTGTCGTAAAGAGTCCAGTTGACCGTCGAGTTCGGGTTCGCGACGTCCAGTCCGGTGAATGTCGAATTGAAATCGAATGAGGCTTTCGCCGAATCTGCTAGCAATACTAAAGATACGAGTGTGAGAAGACACGAAGATAAAGTAACAAAGCTAGGCCGTGAATAGTGACTATTTTGAGACGCCATACGAGTCCCTGACTGGCCCGACTACTGTGTTCCTTGTGGTACCATACATTAGGTGCTTTTCGATTTGATAACTGTACGCCTCCAAATAAATTCAATCAAGTCTGATGTTTCACTTCGCGGAGAAGCTGTTTTGTCTTCGGGTGGCGTTGGTTACAGTTGGTGGGTTTTAATTGACATATGGCTCGGATTGCCCCTCCGATACCAAGCGGAGCCATTTGATTGCGTATTGCTTTTGTAGAATCAGTGTCTTTTGTATTTGCTTATAGAGGTTGATTTTCTTTGGTGGCGCGGTTTCGTAGCGTTGTTTTATTGCTAAAACGTCGGTTCGAGTGGGTGCTAGTTCAATATTCCGCCTGCTGATTGCTTCATTAGTCGCGGTGATCGGGAAGAAAATTTCCGACCTGAAACGAAAGGAAACTGAGTTTAAGAAAAATAATAAAAGTATTATATTTTTATGCAATTTTCCTAGTAGTACGGGAAATGAATTGAATAGGTAACTACTATAAACTAATTCAATATAGCAAAAGTTAGCTATTATCTTATTTTTATTACTTCTATAAAAAAAAATATAATTCTTTACAAACCATCGTACAAATGTAATTTTTTTATTAATGTAAGTATGTTTGCACTTTACCATTCAATGTCGTAGAACAATACCGTTAATCCCAAAATTTTCTTCTCGTTATTATTTCATAGTTTTAAACTTGATTAAGACCTTAACAAAAGCAATGAAAGATAATCAATTGTTAGCGCCTAACGACTTAATACCACACATTACATAAGTTATAAAAATAAATTTAATGCGATTCGCAACAAGGAGCCATGACGTATTTAAGGACAATAAAATTTAATGCGATTATATCGCCAAGTACAACCATTTCCACGCAGTAATGTCCTCTTAAAATACTAACTACCCATTACTTCACATATAAGGAAAGCCAGCTATTAACCTGGTTGATATCCATCTACATTGTGTCTGCGCACGAGTCGAATTTTTATGAGTTTAGTTTATGATTTTTTATTATTCTCTCTTTAAACTGATTTATAACAAAAACTAGTAAAAGAAAAATTTTAAGAAGTAAAATTAGATTAGTTAGATTTGATTTTTAATGATAAAAAGTCGTTTACGTCCTTTACTAAATACATATATATATATATATGTTATACATAAAAGTATGAAATTCACAGATACAAAAAGTATCTGTGAATTTCATACTTTTAGAACCATTCAAATCCATTTTTAATAGTACATGCAATCAAGTCAAACATTGATTTGATTGCATGTACTTCTAAAAACATGAAAGGATTTTGGTTTGAATCCTGAGCAAACATTGACTGTTACAATTGGATACAGAAAAGGCTAAAGTCCTAACTTTCTATAAAAAAAATATATAAGTCGAATACTCACGTAATGTATGTACCTTTATTATGGGAGAAAGTGATTTGACTAATAAATTTATGGTTAATATTGAAGAGCAATAGTCACTAGTTTTAATACAGTTAAATATTATATATATATATATATATATATTTTTTTTTTTTTTTTTAAACTTAATAGAATTAACATGAGTACAATCGATAAATGTATTTTCATTGTCAAGTTGCAAGCAAGTATATTTGCGCACGTATGAAGTAGCCATGATGCTAGTTCAAATTTTGTGTCAAGTGGTATTAGCATATTGTAATAACACGTATAAACGTAACGGGCCCCAGAACAGCGCCCTGTGCTAGTCCAATTTGCATATTAACTCCAAATAAAGCTACGTAACGCGGTGCCGCAAAATATTCTAATTTCCTGTCAGAAATGATTTCCGCTAAACGTCTTAACGGGCTACTAAAATATTAACCAAATCTAACACGAGACAGTTTAAAAGCCTTGTTTTCGTTAATAGGCTTATTAATGTTAGTAAGACTGAAATATTAGAAAGAAGAAATTACAAAATTTATTTTTAACTAACAAATCTAAGTAAGCTTAAAGAATTTAAAATTATTAAAGAGTATTAAAACCAAAATTCTATTTGAGATAAAACACAATATTTATGACATACGCAGGATATGCACATATACACTGCCTACTATCGAGGTAGATTGCGATTTTGGAATACAACACAGATTTTTAATCTATAATATAAAACTATTACGTAAAGAAAACACTATAGACGACACCTATAAGCTATCATAGACAATGATATGTAAAATTTAATTTTATAATCATAATCTTTCGAGTATTATCTAGTCTCAAAAATATAATTTTGACTAAAATAACGAAATCGCCTCGGCGTAGTCGTAGTCAAACCGATTTTTTTTACTTAGTTTCTGTGACTATTAATTTTCATTACTATAAACTATAGTGTACCTATATACAAAAAAAATAATTGGTTCAATATATTTTTTTATATTATCTATATTGTTACACTATCTGTATGTGTATATTTGTCTATCTAATCTAATTAGTTATTATTGTTTTTCAATTAATATGAACACTTCGTGAATAATAGCAGAAAATAAAGTTGAATTAAATTATAAAATGTTATTTTAAAGTTAGGTGAAGTCAACTAGATCTAATTACTAGTCTAAAAATTGTTTTGACCAGCACTAGGTTCCAACTATCCTAGTAAAAACATTGGTAACTTTTGTATAAATTACGTATATATTTTTCCTGTAAGCAAACGACCGCAATTTCACTTAATAGATACAAAAATAGAAGCCTTCAAACGATATTGCATTTCGACGAGGGAGCACTGACCGACGCAATAAAAACAAAAAGTAAAATGCGTGTAATATTGAATTTTACCCGTTTGGCTACAGTTTACCGTATGATTTTATTGTTGTGATAACAGCCTTACAATGATACTAATTATTATTATTTATTAATTACGCTTTTACAAAGTAGCACATATGTATTTATTTTACAAGCATAGAATTGCTTATTAATGATACGCAAATAACAAATAAACTGATAAAATAAAGACTAAGTAGGAGTTTTTTTAATCAAAATCATAAAAAAATACATAATGCTAACGACTGTTGATGCTTAACTAACTTAATATTCTTATAGTATATGTATCCCGTTCGTCCTCATCGAATTTGTACAATCCATCTATACAAGAAACATAGAGGTTTCAAAGCCTATGCTTTTCAGAGTGCAAACGAAAACATTGGGTGGTGGTTTGTAACTCGAACGAAATTTTTATATTCCTACCATACGTTTTACAACGAGACTTTTTGCATGAAGTTCTACGTGTTAAAAATATAAACTGATTGCGAACACGTCGGACCCGGCGGTGGTCGAAATCATGACTCGCAAAATTTTAGCAATATATCGCTACCATTAGACAAGCAAGTCCGCCAAATCACTATGTTATAATGTTTAGACAAACAGCGTGCCAGACGGTTTAGGTTCGTATATGAATAATGCAATAATCCTAGATTAGAGTGTTCCCTAGGGGCCCATGGTAGGACTAAATTAAGGGATTACAAGCTGAATCCAAGTAAGACGTAACGACCTTGACTATATATCGGGCATACATAATAAAAGGGTTTGTCATATGTTTTTTTACTCTAATATTAAATACTGTGTGTAGTTTACGCGAGTAGCACACGTTAACGACACTTAAGCCTGTCACTAGAGACTGTCTCCACGTGACCACGGCTGCTTAAAATAATTTTCAAACAAATTTAACTAATATATATCGCGTTTTAAGCCGGTAATGTTTTATTTATACACTCTTATATTTTCGTTCTACTAACGTCGCGTTAATTAATAGCGAACCTCAGATTGAAAAAAATCGTTCAAATTAATTTTAAATATTTTAATAAAAATACCATAATATCCTTTTGTCAATCAAAACTTCTATTCTTATATATATTTCGTCTATAGGACACAAAAGTCTGATCAACTATGAATTACAGAACGACAACAGACGATTACAGAAATGGGTTTGCCCCATGCCCCACGAAGGAAAACGGTATTTTATTATGTATTTCGTCTTTACATGTACGTGGGATTTAGGTTGGATATATTTCTGTGTCCGTTTCACAGTTACCATTTAGCTACAGAAGCGCGGTCACACAAACATCAATAGAAATTCATAATGTCATACCATCCTATCAGCATTTATAATATCATTCTACGAAAGGAATATAAAACAAGATTCACCCTTATTACGACCTCATAATACTGTATTTTCTCGCGCACAACAGGAAAATCGCTAGTAATAATGATAAAATGACCGAACCACTTATTTTTATTTACATTACTGTTTTAATGTAATCATTTACTTTCATTTGGAGATTTGGGTTTCAGGTTTGTCAATTTCAAATTGTTTATTTTTTTATGCTAGACGAGGACAGACAGAAATATGGTTCACTTGATGGTAGGTGCTATACGCCATATAACATCTAAGCAAGATGCGCTGACGACAAGATGGCTTTAGATATTAGGAAACCACAGACTGAAACCGAAACGCGACTAACCTTTACAGCTTTATCATCTGTGGACGGTGATTCGTCACTCGGACGGAATTTCGATATTCCAATCACCATTCCAGATGAAGTCAATCAAATCTAAAAATATATATATTCTTGAAAACAATAATATTTTTTACATGTATTGCACATGAAGGCACTATATAATTTAAATACGTAAGTGTTAAGGTTGAAATTACACTGCGCGATAGGTGCATGTATCAATAAGTTAAAAAAATTCGACGATGAGGTGTAGGACTCGGTAGCTCAATTGGTAGAGCAACAGCACGGAACGCTGACGATGCCGGTTCAAGTCCTGCCCGAGTCGTAATTTTTTTCAATTTATTTTCGATTTTTAAAATATATACGGTTAGGGCCGGTGAATGGCGGTTCAAAAACCCCGTGTCTTCATTTTTAATCTAATAGAGATTGAATTCAAAAAATATTTTTGTATGTGAATATTAAAGTTATGGTGATGCTCGTAAATCATTTAATAGAGCAGTAAAAATCAATTTTTTAGGTAAAAATAGTCT